GCTGGTCTCTCGCAGGACACTGGTCCTCCCTGCTATTGGGCCGAGGGGGGGGGGTGAGGCCCAGACCCGCTGGCCCTCGCCAGCCTGGCCCGCCACTGGATACACCACGAGGAGACCACGGACCACGTGCCCATGAGACAAACCCAAAGGAGCCCAAAGGCCGTCTGTATCAGAGAGAGCTGAAAGGCGCTTCCCCAGGACACAGTCCTGCCACCTCTGTTGGGACACTGTTGGGAAATGTCCTAAGAACCAGAGCACTTTGTAGGGAAAGTCTGGGAGGGGAACACCTTCATGAAGATGGAGATGGCACCCACCTCTGCTGCAGGTGAGAGGGCAGGGTTCCACGCCTTAGGAGGAAGTCGGGGGAGGACCGTCACCCTCAGGAGAAGGCCACCACTCCCAGTTTGGCTGGGTGTGAGCAGGACCCACGGGGTCCAGAGGTTCCACCCAGCTCTGAGGCAGGGTCTCACCTCACATTCGGGCATGTGGAGTAGCCTCCTGTTGTTTAACTGATTGACCTCCCCGTCCACACCCCCATCCTCAGCCCTGTGACTGGACCTAGGACATTTCGGAATACCCCCCTTATCAACGGGGCATCACAGAGCTCCATGGAGCAGTGGCAGGAAGCCATGTGGGCACAAGGCTCATGCCATTCTGTGGCCCTGCTGACCCCAGGCATCACCAGCTCAGCCTGGTCAGCTGTTGGTGCCCTGAGCTTCTGGGCAGGTGAGGACAATGTTAACACTCCCTGCTTCTCTGTCTGCCTTCAGGGGACATGGGTCCGGCCCAACTCCTGAAGTGGGTGCCCTGCCCCTGGCGGCCAAGACCGGAGACACCTGCTGGGTCCTTCTGCGTGTCCCTGTGGGACCCATTCCTGTGCTCCTGGGGCGGGGCTCAAACCCCTCCTGAGACTTCAGACCTCTGGAGGGCTCGGGGGCCCATGAGGTTAGGGTCCTGAGTCCTCGGAATGGCAAGGGGCACAGGACAGATGGCTTCCCACGTCCCCTGCCCAGCTCTCTTGCACACTTTCAGGGGGTGGCCCGTGGGCAGCTCAGCAGCGTCACAGCCACAGCCCAGACCCAGGAGTCCCACCTGTTTCCTCATCAGCATAAAGGCATAACCATGGCCCTAAACTGGGGGCCCTGTGGGCACTGAGTGGAACTGTGGTAGGAACAGGCCTCAGGATGGGGCGTCTTCCTAAGCCCCTAAGGCCGTTTCTCACCAGGGTCTCTGGGGTGCACCGCATGCTGGGACAGTCTGTGACTTGGGGCGTGCGTCAGGAAGGCGGGTGCTGTTGGCACCCATGGCGCCCTCCCATGGCTGGGGCTCGAGAGGCAGATCCAGAGAGGCCACCATCGTGCCCCATCAAGGGGCAATCACAGCAGCAGTAGACAAGCCGGACACAGGAGGGCTTCCACAAGAGCTGGATCCGCAGCAACGCAGCCTCACAGGGAGGAGAGCAGCCACTTCCATGAGCCTGTCAAAGCTGTTTAGCTCCCCACTGCTCCAGAGAAGAGAATCTGTGATTTGTTCAAAATTAGGCTTCTTGAGGTAACTATAAACCCCCGATACCAAGTCATACTAAAGCTCTGCAGGAGGCTGGCCTGGCTCTTTGTAAGATAATAACAGGGCTTGTGTGTTCCAGAGCTGAAACCCGCAATCTCCTCGGTTTTCCTTTTGGGGAGCTGGACTATCACTGTGGGTGACAGCCCTGACCGACAGCATCCATGGTGCATTCACTGCTGACCCAGTAGGGTGGGAAGTCTCTCTGAGGCCTGAGAGCCACCTCCCACCCCAGAGCCAACCACATCCAGCCTCCCTCTCGACACCAGCCCCTGGTGAGGAAGATGACAGCTGCCGCTGCCCTGCAGCTGGTGGGCTGTGGACCACCCACAGGGCCCGGCCGCAGAGGTCAGAGGTGGAGAAGCCCCGAGCTCCAGATCTGCAAAGGCATGTTTAAACACCACCAAAGGCGGGTTCATGTGCTGCTTCATGCGTAAGGCCATGGTCTTCAGAATGCACACGCCAGAAACCCCAAAGCCTGGGCGAACACACGGCAGCAACCCCCCCAACCCTCCCCCGGGGAGCCAGGTGGGGTCCCAGGCCTGCCAGGCCAGGGCAGGCTCCTGGCAGCCCCTTCCAACCCAAGCTGCAGGGATGCATGCTTGCAGACCTCCCCTGCCCAAGGCCTCGGCCCAGGGACTTCACGGGGAGCCCAGAGGTCTTGGAGTCTGCACTTCCCCAGGCATCCCGAGTTACCAGTGAGCCACTGTCAGGGTTCACAATGAATGAGGACAACAAGGTCCAGCTATTTCACCTGTCTTCTGGAACGTTCTGTCCATTTCATGTACTAAGCCTCCTTTGCCTAAGGCTCCTCAAGTGATGGAGTTGATAAAGCATTTAAAAAGTCAMTCATTATCTATTAACATGTCCATGAGCATGAATGTCCCGCTCTCACAGGCCTGGAGATTTAGAAGCCRCGCCAGAAATGTGGCCGGCCTTGTCTCCATGGGTGTCTGGAGCTGGGCCAGTGTCAGCTCACAAGGCTGAAGCCAGTGCTGGGAACAGGGACAAATAATTCCCACTGCCTGGGAGGCACAGCTACCTTGCCTTTAATTGCCCCCAGGGAGCCTGGCTGGCAGTGGGACGAGGGAGGCCAACTGAGTCTAGGACAGACTTCCAGGAATTGAGAAGCTGCCATGCAGGGGAGGAGAACCAGAGGTGAGAGGGGACTTAAGGAGCTCTGCTGGGTGACAAACAGCAGCCCCCCATGCTCTCCAAGGAACTTGTCCAGATTCACGTTTCCAGTCCCTTTTCTTTCTRATGTTGCCACATGCTGTCACAGCGAGCAGCAGCCCAGGCTTGTGRAGGGGAGTCACTGAACTGGTTCAAGTACCCTTCCCCCAAGGCAGTGGTGGAAATATCAGCTSGACCCTCTGCAGCAGACTTGACTGTCTGCTCGGCTACGCAGATCCCTCTTCTCTCCACTATCCCCATCACCAAGGCAAATGTCTTCTGCCACCGTCCACCATGGATGACCCGAGGAGAACACTGACCAAGGTGGCACCAATCTGATTCCAGCTCTGAGAACAGGCCTGGAACCTAGCACGAAAACAAGGCATCTGAAGACCAGGGAGAAATGAAACCACACCTCAGAGTTCCTGGGGCTTTGCAGCCCCAGCCCTAGCAGCTCCCCGGCCCTTGGATTAGGTGAGACCCCAACCCCACAACCCGCTATCCCCACATCCAGCTGCTGCAACCGATCATCGCATCACATGCAGACCTCAAGGCCCAAGACATCACCCACAGGTTGCCTGCAGCAAAGTCATGGCTGMTGGGGGTCAGAGTTGGGGCACATCTTTACCCGTAAGGGCCCCCACTTACCCCTAGGGAGCAGGCAGGATGCCTTACAGGCAAAAGGTGGCCTGCAGACATTAGCATGGCCACCTTGCTTGTGAGCCTGCTCGGGATGGATGTACATGATACTAAGAGTCCGCAGTTTCTTTAACAGGTCTGCTGAGCAGTGAGGCTGACTAAGGGAACGATGGGGACCCAGAGTTCAGCTAGACACCATGACAACACTGATGCAAACATCACAGCTCTGTAGGTTTGATAACCTGGAACAGCCCCTGCCCTCAGCCTTCCATAGCAATCCTTCTCCCACCCACTCAGAGCGCCATCAAGCCTTGGAGAATGGGAGCCCCAGCTTCCCTCTCCTAGGGGACCTCTGCTGACCACTGCTCTGGGCCTGTCAGCCGGCTCTAGCTGCTTCACTCTAGGAATTCTGAGTTTGCCTATCTCCATGCTGGGTTTGTGTTATAAACCTAGAAACCACGAAGGAGGTTAAAATGAAGCACAGTTTATTTGGGTGCACAATAGATCTGCAAATTGGGACAACAAAGATCAGCTAGACACTAAGCCACCCTCTGCGGATCGTAAGCAGGATCCAGGCTTCCTCAAAAAGGAAGCCATGCCTTGCGGAATATGAACAGGAACGAGGTAAATCCAGAGGTTGGAGACTGATTAAAAAAAAAAAAAAAAAAGCAGGATGCTATAAATTCTGCACGTCTGTTAGAGTGTCAGGAGGCCACCGGGCCACTCTAGTTTTTCTCAATTGCAAACTATCATTAGATTCTGGAAAAGCGTTCTCCTTGGAGCCTCTGCCCCCGACGCCAGGTCTGTGTGGCCAACTGCCTGTCAGAAGAGCCCCCACGGCTCAGAAGGGATCTCTGCTCTTCTTCAGGCCACATGCAGCCATTCTTATTTTCGTCCCCAACATCGTTAACCGCCGCCCGCACTCAACAACTCGGGCGACTGACCTCGGTCCCCTGTCTGTCTGGGGCCTGGGGACCGAACCTGGGGCGCTCTACCACTGAGACACCTCCTGGCCCTTTTTATTTCGAGACCGGGTCTARGTTGCCAGGCTGGCCTTGAACTTGGGATCCTCCTGCCTCAGCCTCCCGAGTCGCTGGGCTCCCAGGCGTGACCTCCGCGCCCGGCTCGCTCCTCACTTCCTGATAGAATCTCGGACGCAGAGAAGGTCCGCGAGGTCAGCACCAGCCTCCTGTGTGGCCTCCCTCCAGTGTCCTCGCGCCACGCTCTGCACGTCGTCAGGGTCCCCGCCTCGGCCGCCGTCCCCGTCCCCCAGGCCGTAGTCCGAGGACCCGACGGCCGAACAGTCCCGGCCCCGCGCACCAGCCAGCGCCGGGATCCCGGGGCCCGCCGGGAGGCCGGCGCAGGTGAGTGACGTCCCCGACGCGCCCCCGACGTGCGGGCGCGCGTGCGTGCGCCGGCGGCGGCCGACTCCCCGCTCCCAGGGGGCCGTGCGCACGTCCACTTCCGGCAGCGGCGCAGAGCCCGGAAGCGGCGGCCGGCGAATCCTGCGGCGCCAGGTGTGGGCGGCGGGAGTATGCGGGGCGGCCGGAGGCCCGCGCGCGGCGCGTTCGTTCCCCCGCGATAGTGGCGGCGGCGCGCGGCGGCTCTCGCGTGAGCGGCGGCCGGCTGCGGGGACGGCGGGGCGGCGCGCTCGGGCCGCGGGCGGCGGCGCCATGTGGAGCGGCCGCAGCTCCTTCACCAGCCTGGTGGTGGGCGTGTTCGTGGTGTACGTAGTGCACACCTGCTGGGTCATGTACGGCATCGTCTACACCCGCCCGTGCGCCGGCGACGCCAACTGCATCCAGCCCTACCTGGCGCGGCGGCCCAAGCTGCAGGTGAGCCGGGCCGGGCGGGGCCCCTCCGGATTGTCCCAGGGCCCCGCCGGGGTGGGGCGCGGGCTCCAGGCCCTGTCCCCTGGTATCACAGCCCGGTGTCCTGGTGGAGCCCCATTGAGAGCCGGAGTGGAGCTCCTTCCTGGCCTTCCGGGGTCTCCGTGCGCCGCCCCCCGGTCGCTGGTGCCGGTGCCTGCTGTCCTGCAGATGGGCTCTCAGACACCCTGTACCCCCAGCCTGTGGGTCTCCAGCCACTCTTGGGCATTGACGTTATTTTCTTTACAAAGACACATTCTGCACTTGCACCCTGACCAGGCAGGAGTTCTGTCTTCTAGGAGGTAACCTGTCAGATGGCCTGCTCTCCGCAGCTCAGTTATGTTTTTTGCCAAGGGCCCTACAGACTAACTTTCTTGTCATCCTTTTCCAGCTGAGTGTTTACACCACCACAAGGTCCAGCCTTGGTGCAGAAAACAATGTGGACCTGGTCTTGAATGTGGAAGACTTTGATGTGGAGTCCAAGTTTGAAAGGTGTGTGGGACAGATGCTGCAGGGTTTGGTGTTGTATGCATAATGAGACTGACTCAGAAACACAGTCTTGCTATTATCTTCAAAACTATGGAACACATGTAAATATTCAAACCAAAAGTAGCAGATGGAGCTTATCCCATGTCTAATGCAGTGAGCAGCAGCCAGGGGAGTCTCCAGAGGAGCAGRTGTCCACCTAGTGGAAGTAGGGAAAAGAGACAGGGTGGAGGAAAGAGCTGTACAGGAATCTAAGTGACCCTAAGTCAGTGAAACTGTCCACCTCTACAGAGGAGCTTTTTAAATTTAACATGCAGTCTAGCAATTGATACATAGTACAGAGGTAAAAGTCCAACTTTTATGTTGTAACTTTTAAAATGATTTGCTCCTAAGATTCTGCCATTCTTGTCTGCACCGCCTAGAAGGTAATGGATGTTTTCTAACCAGCCAGCGTCATCAGATAGCTGGAGGATTCTGTGTGAAGAAGACCATCATAGGTCAGGCTCACATGCTGTCACCTGTAGCCCACCACCTCAGGCGAGTTACAGACCTCCCTGAGCCTTGTGAAGCAGAGGCAGGAAGTGCCGGCTCCTTCACCTTCAGTTGGAGCTGCCCACTTTTTAAAATACTCAGGACATTTCTGTGTTGGGTTTAGTTTAACAGATATGGACACTGCCATTGTGCCAGTTATCAAAGGCAGATAGTGAGGGTTTTAATTTCTGAGCTTGGCAAAAGGAGAAGAGTCTGAAACGGACTCCCATCCCCTCCTCTGAGCTTTGCTCAGGAGTGTGCATTCACCTGAAATGTCCCTGTGGAGGAGGGCATAAAGCCCAGCCCACTGTCAGGAAAGCCAYTCAGAGATGTCCTGGTAGAGATCTTTTGTTGACATGGTAACAAGGCATCCTCTGTTCCTRTATTTCTTCTAATAACAGGAATTTCTTAGAACTTTGGCCCCAAGATTTGTAAAAGAAACCAGGAAGCTCTATTGTGATAAGTAGTATGTGTGGGTTTAATGGAGTCCAATGTGGTGTTTGAGCTGTGATATGCAGGTGAAGAGCCGGGCACCTGGGCCAAGGCCAGGGAAGCACACTGCCAGTGAGATCTCCATCTGGTTTGAGAGTCAGAGCTGATAAGAGGCCTGAAAGTCTGTCTTATGGCTAATCTCTTCTTCAAAAAATGCAGCAAAGCCAAATAACTACCCACATGAACTATTTCTGAGCTTTCCTTATAGTGCCAAAGAAGCACTTCTAGATTTGTGGTTATTGTACTTGGTTTGTGAGACCGGGCCTGCACTTTGCCTCTGTGACTCTGGAGTCATGTTATCTTAGAGGGCTGTAGAAATCAGCTGGTCTGTTGCCAGGCCCAGTACCAGTTGCCACCTGGCCTCTCAAGTGAGTTACTGTCCTTTCTGAGCCTCATGAAATGGAGGTAGAGAGTGCCAGCTCGTTCATCTTCAGTAGTAGCCCCTCACGCTTTTCAAAATGCTCAGCACACGTCTGCATTCAGGGCTCAGTTAAGTCAGGAGCAGGTGAGTTTCGTTTTCAGTAGTTCTGAAATAAAATTAGTTGATGTGAAACACGTTATCTCTAAAGGCATCTGAGTAGGCTCCATGTGAGTGTAAACACAGCAACACACAGATTTGAAATGACCATTTGTTTTGTTCCAGGACAGTTAATGTTTCTGTACCAAAGAAAACAAGAAATAATGGGACACTGTATGCCTATATTTTCCTGCATCACGCTGGGATTCTGCCTTGGCATGACGGGAAGCAGGTCCACCTGATCAGTCCTCTGACTACATACATGATCCCCAAGCCAGAAGAAGTCAACCTGCTCACTGGGGAGTCAGCTGCACAGGTGAGGGTCTTCACTGATGACTGACAGCAAGCCTGTGCCTCCTGCTCAGTGTGTGTGCGCCTGAGTTTGCAGAGCAGCTTCCATCTAGAGCCGTGGTGACTGTTGGAAAGTAAAGCAGTTTGGATGTTGCCACTATACATAAATGTCTTTCATCTGAATCATTTCCCCGGGTTTTCAGATAAATTTTATATCAAACTGAGGACATGCAGTGGAAGTGATCCCTAATATTCTTTACTCAGAGTCCCTCTTAGGCCATGGGCCCCCTGTGTCCCCTCCCACTGGGGGTTTGGGAGGCCATCTTTCAGAGCTTGCCTATACCTCTRTCTTCAGGAGTCACCATTTACGGTGCTATTCAAATTGTGCTGCTTATGGGACCAGACATATATTTAAGCTTATAATTCAAAACTGTAGGAAAAGTACAGGCACAAGTTACATTTTTTCACCTGTAGAAAGCCATATATGCCAAGAAAAACTAGATATCACCCACCTGATGACTGATAAGGCCATGGATACAGCAAGGGAAGTGTGACACACAGGCTCCTGTTGAGTAGAGGAGAGACGACTCACAAAACAAGAAAGACAGCATCTGTTAGGAAACGGCTATGGGGGTGTCCAGGCACAGGGAGGYGGAGCATCTCAGGGTGAAGGGCAAGGTTCCAAAGACCTTCCTGCTTTGTTCTTGACCTTATATGCAGAACCTTCATGTCCTCCTCATGGGGATGGTGGCCCTCTTGGGGCATCTTAGGGAGTCCATGAGCGATGGGTATGGAGTGGCCTTGGGAATTCTATAGCGAATGCAGAATGAACGTAGGCTGTTACAACTTGGAAGACCATTTTCAACATAAAGTGTTATGGGTCAACTATTGTTTGGAGGGAAATAAGATGAATTTATGCTTCGTGAATTATTAGCTGGGCCTGAGATAAAGTTACGGTGTTCCCATGGCTCAGTTTCCTTCTGAGTTGTATTTAGAGTAGTTGCTGATCCTCAGCACATCTTCAGACAGCTCCTGWTGGCTTGGCAGCTTCTCCTTCGCAATGTCCTTGAAGCCCACAGGACCATGTTAGCTGCAGACCTTCACTGCAGCTGGGTCTGCCCCCACAGGATCTGTCCCATCAGGATTGTAGGAGTGGCCCCGCTTAGCCTGAGGACCCCAAAGGTGGAGTCACTGGGATCCTTGACTGCATGACCATTGGGAAGGAGGGAGGGTGTGGTCAGAGCAGTCCATGGTCCCCAGGCCCCCCACTGGGTTCTCCTTCCTATTGTGCCAGTCTGGACAACTACTCTTGGGGTGGAGACACTGACTACCCAGCTGCCCTGGGCCTGCCTCAACCTGGCCTCTGTTTCTCTCATTTTAGCAACAGATCGAATCCGAGAGGAAGCCATCAAGTGCCCTGGACGAACCTGTCTCTCACTGGAGACCCAGGCTAACGCTGAACGTGATGGTGGATGACTTTGTCTTTGACGGCTCCTCCCTGCCTGCTGATGTGCACCGGTACATGAAGATGTAAGTGTTGCGTGGGACCTGGTGAGGGAAATTGCTGCTGGACGGACCGTAAGCAGCCCCCCCCCCCGCAATGGGGAGTGGGCTGCCCCTGTCCCTGTGCAGTGTCATCAATGCTGCCTTCCACCCCTAGCTCCTTGCCCAGCTCTTGGAGGTCACTTGATCAGGATTGCCCAAAAGGATGGGGCGAGGGCAGATCCCAGCTGGCTCACTCTTCAGTTGTCCTCTGCAGAGATATCCGCGGGTAGAGATGGGAAGCAGGAGTGAGGGCCGACTGCCCTGTGTCCCTGGCTTTGTGCACTTGTGCACCTGCTGGCCGGGAGTTGCACAGGCTTTGTAACTCAGCAGTTCAAACTTATTAAAAATTCACCTGCAGCTGTGACTTGGGTGTCGCTCGCTTTGGTCAGCTAGCTCTCACTTGCACTGGGGGCCACAGGGGGTGTCTGAGGGGCTGAGCTGTGTGGGTCCACTGTTCTCATAAGTAATGGCTGTACGGTAGTCGTAGGGCTTTTATGCTCTTCAAGACTTGTCTTATTTTTGAACACGTCATTTGTGTACCATTTTGCAGAGAGGGTCTCCTGATGCAAAGCCCCTGCAGCCATCAGCCTCCCCACGTGGCAGCCCAGCACAGTTGTGGGTCATCTCCTTCCAGGTCCCCTAGCACACAGGTGTCATCTTTCTCCTTCTGCCTCATGGGGTCACCGTGTCATCACACTAAGTGGTCCTTGGCCTGTGTGTGACTGTCCCCATTAGTTCCCACCATTAGTGGCCTCGGGCTTACCACATGGCTGTCACTATCATCCTACCCCCTTAGCATCTGCTTCTGTTTGAAAAAGCTGTGTCTTGGAGTTTCAGTGAGGGTACATTCAAGGCCAGTGCTGGTGGGGGACCTTAGGGAGCCTGGTCCCCAGGGTGCAGATACCCACACTGACCAGGACACCCTCCACCACCAGGGTCCAGCTGGGAAAGACCGTGCACTACCTCCCCATCCTGTTCATCGACCAGCTGAGCAACCGGGTGAAGGATCTGATGGTGAGCCCTGCTCTCTTCTTGCCTCGCAGCCGCTGTTCATGATCCACCAGGGAACCAGGCAAGACCTGGGTCCCGGGTTCAGAGCATGTGCTGGGGTGAAGCACTCGGGACCTGGCTTGCTGGTGGTTGGCACTGGGTCCCCTGGGCATCCTGGCTCACTGGTGAGGCCTTTTGTTAAGGGTTTAGGTGGTAGCACTCACAACTCTGTTTGAAAAGCTGTGTGTCTGTTCTTTACATGAGGCCTGGTTTCATTCAGAAGCATCTGCCAGACTCCCCTCCCCAGGGCTGGTCCTGCAGCCTGGCCAGAGGAGTGTCCACCTGGGAGGAAGCCACTACTACTGTGGTGGCTGTGGGCAAGACTGAGGTGCCCTTGGAGGTGGAGAAGTGGCTGCTGGTGGGCCTGGTGCCCGCCATAACAGGCAGTATGGGCACTCTTCTCTTCTCCCAAAGACAACAAAGTTTGTTTTGACGATGGAGAAAAAAAACATAGCCAACCTTTGGTGATAGGGGAATGACTGCTCCCTCCATCCAAGGCTGCCCGCACCTCTAACAGTCCTGCCACCAAGAGCTGCGCGCCATAGTCATGATTCACAGTGAAGTTACTCAGGGTTAGAACATGGGGCTGGGGTTGTGAGTGAGCTGCCCTGCCTGCCTCTCCTGGGGCTGTGGCCATTGCTCGTGAGCACTGGATAGGAGCCAGAGCCGGTTGCCACGCAAGGCTTCAGTAACTCTGGAGTGAGCACTTCCCCTGCACAGATGAGGATGCTGAGGCTTGCAAAGTGGGGGCTTGCCACAGTGTGTCCTGACCCCGCCTGGATTCTGCTGCTAGCTGCAGCTCAAGATGTCAGGCCCTCTGTATAGCTTTGCTCAGACCCTAAGGTCCTAAGGCAGTGTCCTCTGCTCCCTGACTGCTTCCATGACATGAAGGCTGGGGCTGGGGGGCAGATGTGCTAGCAAGCAGATCTGATTGGTTCCCATCCCACCTTTCCCATACTTGGTTTCTGCTGAAACACAGACAGTACTTTGTAAACCATGAGGGCAGCCTGTGGTCACCTGTCATGGCCCAGTGGTGCTGGCTCCTCAGAGGCCCTTGGGAAGCAATGCCTGGTGACGGCATTGCTACAGGCAATGCCCTCAAGTCTGTTCACAGGTCCATCTAGGTAGAGGACCAGCGTCTGCAGCACACTCATGTTGTAATGGTTGGTCATATTGCAGTAGTCCCGTGTTACGTGTTGTGGGACAGGAGAACTGGTGTGCAAGCAGCTGGTCTCCACCGCACCACCCTCTCATGTCATTTTCTGCATCTCACATGAGCCACTTCTCAAAGGAATGTCATCCTGGGAGGGCAGCTAAGCCTGTCGGGTGCTGCAGCCCGTGGCATCCCTGGGACAGGCCTGGTAGCTTGAGGGAGCGAGAGGCTTGCCACACGCCTGCAKAAAGTGCCTGTGCTCTGAAATGCCCAGCTTCTGGCTGCTGTGCCAGGGTGCACAGGTGTGGGGCAGGTGCATCAGATAGTGTGGTGCTTGTGTGCATGTGGTCACAGCTGTGCATGCTGCAGGTGTGGCTCAAGTGCTCCATTTCCTATAGCTTCCACCATCCCACACAGCCAGGGTCTAGGCCTAGAGTTTCCCTGTCCATCTTGGGCTCTTTTAGGACAGGGCTAAGGCCCCATGGGTGGTGCTCATGCCTGTTCTGCAGCTCAGCTTCGAGCCTAGTGGGCTCCTGATAGATGGCTGGTGGTGAATCCCATCTAAGGCATTGGAGCTTGTGTGGCTCAGAAAGATAGGAAGTGCATGTGGAATGGGTGGGCCGTGGAGGCTCTCAGGACTCCTGGGGATGTGGATAGGAGCACGCCTGGGGCTTAGGGTGTGGAGAGAACAGAAGCACTGCATTTGGGAAGAGCTGTGAGCAGGCAGCATGGCGGGCACCTGTGCTGCTCTAGGACAGGCCTGGGAAAGACTCCTATGTGCACTAAAGGCCCAGGACAAGGAGCAAGCTCTGGAGCAGGTGCTCCTGCAGGACCTGCTGCAGCTAATGAGWTGTAAGAGGTGGCCCAGAGTCCCCATGTGTCACGGCCCTAGCTGTGTGGGGACCGGAAGTAAGGATCGTCAGGGGCCTCAGCTATGGTGATGGTGTGTACAACTCAGGTGCTCCTGGAGGCTCACAGCAATGCCCTTGGTCACAGTCGGGTGGGTGCTCATCTGTGGACCTCTCGTTGGCAGGTCATAAACCGCTCCACCACGGAGCTGCCACTCACTGTGTCCTATGACAAGATCTCTCTGGGGCGGCTACGCTTCTGGATCCACATGCAAGATGCCGTCTATTCCCTGCAACAGTTCGGTGGGTGACTGTGGGTCCTGGGCTGGCTGGGCTGGGCTGGGGTGTTTGGTGGTGGGAGCCCTGCTTTGGCTCCGTGTATCCATGGAGGATTTGTGGGCATCCTGCAGCTGCCCCACTGCAGCACTGCCTCACCCTTCCTGGTGTGGCTCACTCCGTGTCCTTGCTGCCAGAACTGGCCAGCACCTCCTCACCATGTTGAAAGTGACCTGGGTTGTTCAGGACCCAGTGTTTTGAGTGCCATTGTTCCAGAGGCACTCACACTGCCAAGGTGGGTTGTGTGAGCACAGAGCTGCCTTGGTGGCTGRGGAGGGCGTTTGCATCGTGATGCGTTTCTTCCCTACAGGGTTTTCAGAGAAGGATGCTGATGAGGTGAAGGGGATTTTTGTAGACACCAACTTGTATTTTTTGGCCTTGACCTTCTTTGTTGCTGCATTTCATGTGAGTCGTCACCTGGTGCTTGTTGGGGGAGTGACAGAAAAGGCCGGGTGCTCGTGGGCACTGCCCAGCCCATGGCCACCTCTTATGTCAGCCAGCAGTCGGCATGCCCGAGTGTTGGTGTCCCGATGGCCTCTCTCAAGCTCAGGAAGTGTATGCTGTCTGCAGCTGAGGGATGCTGGGCGTTAGCTGCTTTGGAGACATTTTGCCAAAGAATGCCAAAATGCTTTGAGCAGTGCYTGTATTAGTAGGGTTAGTTAGGGACCTTGTAAAGTAGCATGTTTCACCACATAGTCATGTGTTATGATTTTCAGGTTTAAAAGTTCGTTCTGTGCCTGTAGTCGGGTTTTGTACAGGGAGTCTGAGAGCTGCCAGAAAGCCATGCCACGGGGCAGTCACAGTTGGGATAGAGGACAAGGAGGTACCTCTGAGTGCCAGCCAGGCCAGAACTTCTAAGCCAAGATGAGAAAGTAAATGTCACTTTTTATTAAAGAGTCAGTGGCTGAGAACAAGCTGGTGTTTTCTGCACAGACCAGGGGCCGCTTTCCTGGGTAATGGTGGTGACCCAGAACAGAAAGGACTCCAGCTGGCCTCACCCCTGGGCACCCCAGACTTCAGCATAGGAGAGGAGGCACACAATGCCTAGACATGCTCCCCGCCATTTGACTCACACCCATGTTGGGCGAATGCTGTGGTGAAACCCCCTTCCAGGTTCCTTGGCTCGGGCACATGGAGCCAGTGTGGGTGGTTTCTGCAGGGCACAGGCGTGTCTTGTTCAGCCCGAAGCTTGGGCCCAGGGTCCTACAGGCTGCCCAGTACAGAGGCTGAAGGGGCAACTCGGTGCAGGTGACTCCTGTCTGTTCTTTGCAGCTGCTCTTTGATTTCCTGGCATTTAAAAATGACATCAGTTTCTGGAAGAAAAAGAAGAGCATGATTGGAATGTCCACCAAAGCAGGTAGGCCAGGAGCGGGTCCACCTGCTCACAGGCACACTCTGCTCCCATGAGGCCTGCAGCTCACGCCCATGACAGTGCTTGTCTGGTTGGCTGAGATGCCTCTTAGATCAGGCAGCCCAAACCCCGGCAGTGTCTCAGTGGTCACTGAGCATCTAGGAAACCTGGGAATACCACAGAAGAGAGGGCCACAGAGGCCACAGGTAGGGAGCCGGGTCTGATCTTGGGCTGGTAGAGGACGAGTCTCCTGGACTTCTGGTTGCGGATGTGGGGCCAGAACCTTACACCCCTACCTTGGTGAGCAGCAGCATCTCTAACCTTCCAGGAGAGGCCGTGGCTGGCCAGTCCCAGTTGGTTAGGAGTTGGGTGTGGCTGCCGGAACCAGACTAAAGCAAGTCTCTCAAACATAAAATGCAGGGTTTTTCCTCATGAGTACCYGGATAACCCTACACAGTCATGGAATCTCCTGGGAAGGAGGGGCCTCCTGTTGAGCCCAGGGTGGCTGTGGCCCTGTCCATGGTGTCTGCAGCCCTCCAGGACACCAGGCACCCACGGAAGGCAGAACAAGCTAGAGTTGTTTTCATAGCACACCTTATGAAGGAGAAAATACAGCTTTGTCAGAGAAACAAACTTGTCACAGAAAGCAGAGGGTGAAGTGGGRTGCAAGGGAGTGAGCATCCCAGTCCTGGGCTCTAGTCTCGCACCCTGTCGCATTCACACCTGTGCTGCGGGTGTCACTCACATGTGCACCTAGCTGGTGTGTAGTTCTGTGGCCTCCAGTAAATTTTTTTTTTTTACCTTTCTTTTATTTATTTATTTTCGTGTGGTGCTGAAGATGAAACCCAGTGCCTCACACGTGCGAGGCCAGCGCTCTGCCACTGAGCCACAGCCCCAGCCCATCTAGAAATCTTTTTAGAATGTTTCCCAGAATGGAGTAATTGTGCACTGTGGGTTTTCTTTCTGTGAGTCACGGGTGTGCGGCACGCATGTCGCTGGGCTGGAGCCTAGGGCCTCCTGCACCCTGGGCAGGAGCTTGGCTGCCAAGCTACCTGGACGAGGAGGGCGTTCAAAGCTGTGTGGACGGGTGGGTGACAAGGGGGGTCTGTGCCAGTGGGCTTGGCACTGCCTTACTGTAGCTACCGTGTCCCCAGTACTGTGGCGCTGCTTCAGCACCGTGGTCATCTTCCTGTTCCTGCTGGAYGAGCAGACAAGCCTGCTGGTGCTGGTCCCAGCAGGCCTTGGGGCCGCCATCGAGGTGAGTCTGGCACCGCTCGGCTCTGGGCAGACGCTGGGGCTTATGTGAGGCCCAYAGACTTCAGTGTATGGTCAGGCGCCTGATTCTGACCCACAAGGCTCCCCAAGGACCCACACACCTGCCCTGAGGACTGGCGGGCTCGCCCAAGCAGGCTGTGTGTTGTAGAAATGCCTGGGCGTGGGGGCAGTGCGGCGAAGCGCAGGGAGGCCGTCTCTGGCACAGACTTGTGCAGTGGCGTCCGTCAGGYAGGACTGTGTCGGCACACTTGATGAGCTGCAAGACATTCGTGTGGCCTCAAGGAGTTTGTAGTTTGGCTGGGATTTGAGACAGGATGGCCAGGTGGAGAGTAGCTCAAGTGTGGGTCAYCTGTGGTTTAGTCCTGTTGGTCAGCAGAGGGAGCTCTGTGGGAAGGGGCCGTGAAAAGCTGCTGGGCTGGGCACAGGGAGAAGACCCAGGTGGCCGTTTTGAGGAGCCAGGCCGTCAGAGTCGGCAGCCCCCTGTGGGCCTGGCTCATATGGCTGCGGATACTTGCTGAAGGGTCGTAGCCTCCAAGACACCAGAGCTTCACGGGCAGTGACCACCCCGTCACGTGTGGAAGCCCACCCCGACATGCTGGGCCTGACCTCAGTAAGTGGTGTTGGCCCAGGTTGTAGTAAGGGTGTCCAGGAGGGCATGTGTCCAGGGAGGTCCAAGGACAGGCTCCAGTGGCGTCTTCCTTAGTCGGCTTCGCAGTGGCTGCGGGTCCACCTGGCAGGCGGCCCCTGAGTACAGAGGCAGAGCCCATGAGAGGTGGAGCGAGGGGGAGCTACAGGCGGGCAGAGGTGGGGTGGGCTGAGAAGCTGCACCGTGAGCGCCGGGTCCCATCCCTTCGTGTTCCCGCACGTTCACTCTGGCATAGAATTGTGAATGGGCAGCATTTCATTTTCTCCCRACAGCTTTGGAAAGTGAAAAAGGCCTTGAAGATGACGGTGGCCTGGAAAGGCTTAAGGCCTGAGTTCCAGGTGAGATCCCCAGCTAGCTGGCTGCCCCAGATCGCCGCCTCTGCTTCCTCCCTGCTCCTCACGCTCAGCAGGCTGGCCTCTGTGGGTTACGTGCTCATCAGAGCTCAGCTCTCGGAAGACAGTTTGTCGTGGGGTGGGCATCAGACCCCAGCTGATGGCCTCCTGGGCAGGGCTCAGGTTGGCTTCTGCATGAGTTGCTGTTTTTCTTCCCTAAAGATTCCTTGGTCAGGAAACTTAGTGTCAGCCTCGTTAAAAGCAGGGCCACACCTCCATCCCTGAGCAAGCCTGCAGGAAGGGACATGCTGGTCTGCAGGGCTCAGATGCTCTTATGTCCCCRGCTGTCGTGCATTCCCATGCTGCCCAGACCCAGGCCAGATATTGACCAGTCTCCTGGGAACGTGGTGCATGAGTGAAGTCTGTGCTGATGGCACTGTGCTCTGTGGTGGACCTTGACCGCCTTGGCCCTCAGAAATCACGTGGCCCTGCTCCAAGCCGAGATGGGCTGATGTCTCCCCTGTAGCCCAGTGGCTTCTCCACCTTCCCTGGCTAGAGTGTCAGTGAACTCAGCAGCTCTGGGAGTGGGAAGCAGCCCAAGGAGCTCCAAAGGTGGCCTGCACAGTCCGGGCCAGCCTGAGGCAGAGCCAGCCATGCATGCAGTYCCAGTCCTGTCCCCATCAGCCTGGACTGGGGTCTGTTGTGCTGTTGAGGCTCACTGGCTGGATTGAGGGTGTGCCGTGGCCATGAGACCTTTCACGGCTCCATTCTGGCCTGTGCCAGACGTCCTTGCTGAGCCGGGTAATGTTGTTGTGTTTGACTTTCAACAGTTTGGCACCTATAGTGACTCTGAGAGGAAGACCGAAGAATATGATACGCAGGTAAGCCCGAGGGCTCGGCAGGGCATTCACATACCTGGCAGGCGATCTGTCACCCTGGGCAGTGGGGCCCTCATGAACTGACCTGTGGGGAGTGGTCTCCTGGGAGGGTCTGCATGTCTAACTGGGGAAGGAGGGCCTCACAGCCCTTGCAGGCACCTTCCCACCTGTGCAGCTGGGAAGGTCATCATGGGATGGCCCCACTGGCAGCTCGTTTCCACGTGGCTGCTGGGGAGCTGGAGGTGGCAGATCTAACAGGCATTTCTGCACAGAAACGGCTTTAGTTTTCTGTTTTAATATTCACCAGCATACGTTTCAATTTTTATAAAGGTTATAAGAGCTCAATTCAGAAAAATACATTTGGTGACAAGACTGTGTCACGTCGCCAGCAGCCTCAGCGGGGCTTTCAGGAGTCTGGACTCCTTCCTTGTGCTCACAGTCCTCCRAGGGTCTGTGCGTTGGTCCTGCATCAGAACCAGGAGGCTCTGCTCAGGACCACTTGGGGCCACAGGTCCTGTGGTATTGGCAGAGGCATGGTCACGYGTACCCACCTTTGCCAATCAGTGGAGCCCCTGCCCAAAGTTGTGGTGACATGTCCACAGAGGCATCTGAGGCATGGCTTGGTCACTGGGAGTTTCCTTTGTCCCTTACAGGCCATGAAGTACCTATCATACCTGCTCTACCCCCTCTGCATTGGGGGCGCCGTCTACTCACTCCTGAACATCAAGTACAAAAGGTGGGGTGCTGTACTTCCCTGCCAGACAACTTGCMCTCAGTCCTGGGCTGAGAGCAACGTGCCTGGTGGCAAGCTTCCTGTCCATCCCCAGTGCTGGGCCAGTCGGCTCTGGCCTCCTCTCCTCTGTAATGTGGGGATGTCAGGACCCCCCCTTCCCCAGGGTCCTGAGTGCTCATGGGGAGCGGGTCCTAGAAATGCAGGCACAGCCTGGGCTGCAAGCCAGAGGCATCCCTGGCTCCTACACCCCRGGCAGTGGGCACAACTGTACCTTCCAGCCCAGGAAGTGCAGGCATCCCCTGCTATAGCAGCGCTATTGAGGGCAGAGGTGGGATGGTTTGGGAGTTCCCCAAACCAGCCACACAGCTGCTTTGCTGGACGTGAGCTTGCAGAGGGGCTGGGCCCAGTGGGGTGGGACCATGGTGTGGCCCTGGCCAGGGACGGTGTATGCAGAGCTCTGAGTGGGCAGCTGGTTGTGCAAGCCCTGGAAGTCTTATAGGAATGGGATATGCAGAGTGGCCTCTCCTACACCTGAGTGCATTTGGGTGAAGAGGGTTTTGTTTGCAGAGACCCTTTGGTCTGACCAGGCTCCTAGGAAGGGTTGGGACTTGATGTGGAACACGTAGGGAGCGCTTGGCCTCCCTGGGTCAGCAGGGCCTGGTACTGCCTCTTGAACCACCCCACTTATCACAGTGGGTGTACCAGCTGCCCACACGCGTTTGGGTATTTACGAGAGGGTTGTCAAGGAAAGTGGTTTTTTTGTCAAGTTACCACACTTTCTGTGGCACAGGAAGCCGGGCTTTCCTGCCGGTCACGATCCTTCCTTTTCTTACAGTTGGTATTCTTGGCTAATCAACAGCTTCGTGAATGGTGAGTTCCTGTTTCCCATTCCAATAACAATRTTTATAGCAGGTGCCACTTTTCTTGCTCCTGCCTGTGACCGAGTATGACAGGCACCACATCTGTTCAGGCAGCTCYGCAGCGGCCAGTGCTCTGCTGTGCCTAAGTTGGGCGTCACGGCTCCCCTGGACTTGCAACTCAAGCAGATGGCCTGTTATCCCTTCTGTGTGGAAATGAGAAAGCAGGCGTCCAGAGCGCCAACACCATGCAGCCCGTGGGCTGCGCCAGGCTCAGGGGTGGTCCTCCTGTCTCGGGGCTGCGGTGTGCATCCTGCCTGCCCCTGGCCAGCCTCRGTTGCAGCTGGGTTTCCTTGCAGGACACTTTGCCTGCCATGCTCCCAGGTTGTGGGCCCCACGGGGCCTTGTCCTCACCGCCCCCAGACACCCCGGCACCTGCATTTGCTTGGTCCCTGTGGGCAGAATTTCAGGGCCACCAGTCCAGAGCATCTTGCTTGGCTTTTGGCGAGTTTGCCAGCCAGCAGGTGCATATCTGTCACCTGGCTGACAGGCTGTCTGGGCACAGTGGGCAGAAGGGGTGCGGACCCTCTGAGCTCAGCTCTGTTCCCACAGGCGTCTACGCTTTCGGCTTCCTCTTCATGCTGCCCCAGCTCTTTGTGAACTACAAGGTGAGGCCTGCCTGCATCCTCTACGTAGGGCTGTCTTCTGCTGCCCCTGACTGACCTTGGTCGTCTCTCTGTTGCAGATGAAGTCTGTGGCGCATCTTCCCTGGAAGGCCTTCACCTACAAGGCAAGTGCTGCRTCTGCACCCCCCCAGCATGTGTGGACAGGGCCTGCCTGCCCCGGGTRCTTGGCTGCTGTCCTGCCCGTGGCCTATGTCAAGAAGTCGCCTTTGTGAGCAACCCATAACTGAGGACCGCAGCTCTYGCTGTCCTAGGAAGGGGAGCTTTGTTGAATGAAAGGCTGTGCTCCGTCTCGGCAGCATTGTAAGAACAGGTGGACGTTGCCCGCAGCCTTCTGGGCAGCCTGCGGGGGCTCCAGGAGCAGGGTGGGTGGAGCTGGGTGACCAAGTCAGATCCCAAGAAGGGCCGGCTCCAGAGGGTGTGCTCCAGTGTCCAGCAGTCTTGGGTTCCAGAGGTGKAGAGCCAGGGGGTGGTACACACGGGTTCCTGGGCTCCAGGCTACAGCGTGGTTGCACTGGCTGGTTTCTGCCTCTGAGTGTGCCACAAATGTCACAGCGACAGGCCCCTGAGTCTGCCGTGAGCACTTGACTGGCGGGGCACAAGAAGTGATGGGATTCCAGCCCTGGTGTCAGCCTCTCCCCCCGTCCGGCCCCACAGGCTTTCAACACCTTCATCGATGACGTCTTTGCCTTCATCATCACCATGCCCACGTCCCACCGGCTGGCCTGCTTCAGGGACGACGTGGTGTTCCTGGTGTACCTCTACCAGCGGTGGTGAGTGAGCCAGCGCTGCAGGCCTCTCCTGGCTGAGGCCCTTGTGCCTTTGCAGGAGGGTTGCAGGTCGTTTCCTGCTTGCCTGTGCTAGGGCTCCAGTGCCAGTGGTGGTCAAGGCCAGGGATCGCTCCCCTCTTCATCTTGAGGGTGTAGCAGCCCTGGGTTCTGTCCTGAGTGTCTGTTTAGCACCCCTTGAAGCATCTTGTCCTGATTTGCATGTGGAGCCAAGCACAGCGATGGCGCCTCCCACCAGGGCTCATCCTGGTCCCGTGGCTGGGGCTGGGGCTCAGCGTAGAGCACTTGCCTAGCATGTGTGAGGCACTGGGTTTGATGCTCAGCACCACACAAAGAGAGAGAAATAAAGGTACTGTGTCCGTCTACAATTAAGAAAAAAAAACTTAAATTTTTTTAAATTTTTTTTTTTTTTTTTTTAATGAAGCGTCTGATAGGCAGTTAGAGAACAGGGGTCTCCCGCTTCAGGCAGGCTTTGGGCTGCTGGGCCATGTACCCTGCAGGAATGGGGCAGTGGCTCTCCTGAAGCACTCCTCCTGGGCACTGGCCACACACAGAAGCACCAGCCACCAGGGCCTAAGACTAAATCACACTGATGACCCAGATGGTCCAGGACAACTTGTGGACACTGAGATGCAGGTGCTCACCCCTGGCCCCCCCATCCTGGGCACCTGGCCTCTGTGCAGACGCTGCCCCTGCCTCTGCACCGCCCAGGATCTGGGGTTTCCTGGGGCAGCTTTGCCTCTGCAGAGGCTGTGCCTCGGACCTCCACAGAGATCAGWGACGACGCAGGCTGTGTCTTCCCCTCCCTGGGCACTGGGCAAGAAGGGGCTTCTCTGGGACAGTTTGCTCTGCAGTGACGCYGCCAGGCTTCCCCCGCCCTCCAGGTTCCTGCCCCAGCCCCTCCTCAGGGTATGCACGCCTGGGTGTCTGGGAGAGTGCAGCATGCAGCCCACCACCACCGAGCTGCCCTGCGGGCTCTGGGCACCACCCGCCACTGGCTCCTCACAGCTGGAGGTGGAGCRCTGTGAGCCCAGACGCAGACGCAGTGGGGACTTTCTGCCTCAGCCAGCAGGGCCCTTGGGTGGCTGCCGCGTCCATGTACACTGCCCCAAGATCCACTAACACCTCCCCCTTTCCCTTGAGCCCTCAGGAAAACCCGCAAACTGAGTTCAGTCAGTACCCCGGGCTCAGGGGAAGTGGTCAGTTAAAGTGGGAAYGTGTGGTAGTCTTCACACTGCATGTTAGGTCGCCAGCACCGTGTCCTCCCTGCCTGTCTTCACCCTAACCAGGGACAGTGCTGTCACCGTCCCCAGGGTTTGGGATGAGAGGAAGTGACCACTTGCAGGGTGTGTAGAGCTGGACTGGAGCTGGGGATGGACGACAGCGTCCCTGAGCGCTCACTGCTGGCCTTTTGCATCTGTATATGTAGTTTTCACAGGTCACTACAGGGCGGTCTCTGGCCTGTCCCGCTCCAGGACTACCATCCTCTTCTGGTCAGCTGGGCTCTTTGCTGACATGGAAGTACTTCAGCAAAGGGTGGAGGCAGCCCAGTGCCCAGGCAGTAGGCCCCTGGTGTCTCTGCTTCCTGGCTGCCCGAGGCAGCTCGCTGGAGAGCAGTGCCAGAGGCCTGTGCTTTGAGGGCAGAGCAGTGCCTGGGCTCCCTGGTAAAGTGCCCGCTCTCTGTTATTGCAGGCTTTATCCTGTGGATAAGAGCAGAATGAACGAGTTCGGAGAGTCCTATGAGGAGCAGCCCCAGCGGAAACCCCACGCAGACTGAGCCCCGGCCTGGGCCCTGAGGCTGCCACACGAGACAGGACGTGGCCACCAGTGGGTGTCCTGGAAGCTGGGACTTTCTAGATATGCCTTCTGCATTGCCAAATCCCTCTGAACGTCTCCAGCATCTTCTAAGCTCCACTTCCATCTGGAAGGGGCCAGAAGCACTAACTGTGTCCCCCCCACAAGAACAGGTGCCACACATGGTCGCAGCAGCCAGCACTGGTGGCCACATGCAGCCGTCGGCACAGGAGAGTCCCCAGGCAGGGAGGGTAGCGATCCCGTCCCAGTTGTTTCTAAGTGCTCCTGTGTGAATTCACCTGCATCTGGGGACTCAACTCCTCTGGACTCTGGACCAAACGGCTCCTTTTTCCCTTTTGTTTAAAATTTGGTTGTTTGAAGCTTAATGTATGTATGTTTCTATTTTAAAATAAATTTCTCTGGCTGTGACGATTTTCTTGACCAGGATCAACATGAAAAGCATTTCAGATACTGAAGTTTGACTCTGTCTCAGAACTGACTCGAGGTAGGTGTATTTATGCTTCRGAAGGAGGCAGTGCCCCCGGCAGCCTTGGACTCCGGAGTTTCTTAGGTGAGGGTCCTGTAGTCCGTCAAGAAATGTCCTGGCGGGTGTGCTCAAGCTGTGGGAGCTCAGCCGCAGCTCCATCCTGGACCGTGGCCTGCAGCTGTCCCTGGGGGTGAGCTAGCCAGCGCTCACAGGCTCAGCACCCCAGAGGCCTGCTCTGAGTGGGGCACCTGTGGATCCCCCTCACCCAGGCAAAGKTAGATGCTCACCAGGAATCCGCAGRTGGTAACTAGGTGTTGGAAACCTCCCCGCCTGGCTTGAAGGAAGTGCCGCTTGGTTTTCAGGGGTGTCTGTTCCTGTCAGTGCCAATGTGATGCAGAGTCTCTTAGTCCGCTCCCTGGGGCTGTATGGGTGGCCCCAGCACAGCTGCACAAGGCACCTGGAGTTGGGGAACTGTGAGACCCAAGGTGGGTGGGAGGCAAGGGGAAGAGCCCCCTGGGAGAGGGCTGGGCAGGAGCCTGCACCACAGGCAGGCTGGGCTCCTGTGGGCTGGTGGCACCAGGAAGGTGTAGGGAGCCACAGGGGCTCCAGCACCCTCCACCACACACCCAGGCTCTGCCACCCCAGGGACTCTTCCRTGCCTGTGGGTTTCAGAGACCCCTGGGGCAGAGGGCAACCAGCACACAGKGGGGGTGGGGGCATCAGGATCACTGAGCAGAGGAGCCAGCTTGGCCTGAGGACCACCATGCTGGTCGCCCGTCACTGCTGCCTGTGGCCAGCCCCCACAGGAGTGGTGTGTGGAACTGCCTCTGGCCTCTGACCTCTGGTGCTCCCAGAAGCAGACGGGSTTGTCGGGGGTGGTCCCTATCTTGGCAAGGGCAGGACCACACCCCGACTTCAACCCCATGCCAGGCTTAGTTGGCATCGCTGCAGGGCGGCTCTTTGCCATGCTGTCAGTCCTGCACTGCACCAAGAGCCCGTCCGGCCGCTCTCGAGGGGGCACTACGGGCCCTGGGGTGTGGTGTGGGCAGGGGGCTGGGGTGCTGCTTCCTCCTTCAAGCAGGTCTGTGTGGAAAGGTTTGGAGAAGGGGACAGAGGTCCTTGGGCTTCAAGATGCGGCTTGCATGCTGCTGGCTTCCGCCTGTGTGCCKGAGCTGACTGTCCTTGGACAGTTAGTAATTATCATGGTTGTCATGAGCACCCCGCTGGCACCTTGGGAGGCTGGTTCGAATCCCTCAGAGATGATGTCTGACCCCTCTGCTGGAGTTTGGTGCCCTGGGCCCACATTTGGCTATTTCACCAGTTYCTGCACAGGCTGGGACAGTCAGCCTTGGAGAGCATGGGCCCCTTGACAGCCGTGTCTGCAGGAGGCAGCCTCCTCGTGGAGACGGGCCAGGGCCCGTGGTGGCCCCAGGGCGGGTGGGTTCTGATCCAGGGCCGGTGGTCCCCTCTGGAGGCTGCTGCTGCTCAGAATGCACCCTCTGCCTCGCTGCTGTTCTCACCCACGAAGAGGCTGGCTGCAGAGTTCYCGAAGAGCAGAGCAGCCGGAGCAGCACGAGGGCCCTCTGGCCCTGTGGAGCCCACCCTGGTGGTCATCAGGCCTTGGGGAGGACACCGAGGCCTGTCTGCTGCATTGRCCAGTGAAGCGCAGCAGGCACGGGGCCTGGAGGAAGGAGAGGTGGCAGTGGTCCGAGGAAGCCCAGGGTGTGTTCCAGTGCGGTCCTGTGGGCACCGAGATGAGCAGAGGTCTCTGCCAGTGCGGAACACGCGGACACAGGGATGTGGCCCGGGGATGGGCATTGCCCCCTGCCCTGCCGTTCTGTTCCACACGGTGTTCCCGGCATGAGTAGGCCAAGGCTTACCCTCCCAGGAGGGCTCCAGGCTCCCACGTGGGCGGCCATCAGGAACGTGTCTGCTTACCTCTGCACAGAGCGGAGCACCTGTGCTCAGACCTCACGGGTGCTTCTGGGCCATCTGTTTAAAGGACTGCCCATCTGCACGTCCACAAAAACGGAGTCCCATTTGGGTCACACTGTCACCACAGGGGTGTGTGATTTTAGCTGCTCTGAGACAGGGTTTAAAAAAAAAATTCATACACACACACACACACTCAAACACACACATATGTTTTAGTTATAGGTGGGCACAATATCTCTATTTCATTACTTTATTTTTATGTGGAGCTGAGGATTGAACCCAGTGCCTCACACATGCTAGGCGAGCACTCTGTCACTGAGCCCCAGCCCCGGGACAGGGTGTTTCCCAGTGACTGATGGCATTGAATGCCCTTTCTTATTCTTAAGGACTGTTTGGATTTTTGGATTTTTTTTTATGTGAAGTGCCTATTTTTTCCCTTTTCCCCATGAGCACACATTCSAAATACTGTGTGGCTGGGTTTGGTGCACACTGTGGCCCAGTTACTCGGGAGGCTGGGGCAAGAGGGTTGCTGGAGGAATTAGAGACCAGGCTGAGCAACACAGGGAGACCCTGCATCCAAAACGAAACCCAAGAAGAGCACCTCAGTGGGCACACAGGGCTGCAGAGGCCCMGCCATGGAATGGGAAGCCCTCTAACAGAGACGAGAGGAGGCAGAGGAAGACATCTTAAGAAATAATGTCTGAACATTTTTCAGATATGATGAAAAATATGAAAGTGTAAATAAGAAGCTCAAGAAATCCCAGCATAAGAGAAGGAAGAAAACTAACAGGAACACCAGAATGTTCATGGAACATGACGTTCTCGACCACCCTGGCACTGTCCCCTGGCTGAGCTTTCGGGGACACTTCATATCTGACCCGTAACAGAGTCCCATTGAGCCTGTCAGGGACTTAGAGCTGAGAAACATCATCAGGCCAGTGTCCTGCAGACATCATGGAGTGCACCGACCAAGATGGCTATGGTGGCACAGGTGAGGTGATCCATGGACCACCAGGAYGGTGGTGACCCAACCGTGGTGGCGGCGGTCTGCGTGACGACGTGATGCAAACAGAAGACAGGCTGGGATAGGCCAGAGCAGTGTGCTGTCAACCTTGAGCAGCTGGTCAAGTAAGACAAGCAGGGAGCTCCGTCGTCATRCCAACATTGGAAATGAGATGGGATCATCCACACACCCAACCATGCAGCCTGGTGACCCTGGAACATCCTAATTCATGTTCCACACCAGAGCAGTCTGGAGGGTACACGGACGCATCCGAGATGCCCCCACACGCCTCACCCAGCACAGGGACTGAGCCTCGAACCAGGGGTGCAGCTCCATCTGGACCTGTCCACAGACTGCCTCGTGACTGCTGACCAGCAGCACTGAGAGTCACACTCCTGTTCCCGCATGGCAGCCAAGCCAAGCCGAGGGTGGGTTCCGCTCTGAGCAGACAGCAAGCTCCCTGTGCCAGCTAGCCACCAGGCCAGGAGGGGCAGAGCACAGCACCACGCTGCCCTGACAGCTGGTCAGAGCYGAGCACAAACACTGCATGGTGTTTGTGTTGCACGAGCGTCCTCACAGTGGAGATTCTCAGTCTAGACCCTGGAAAGAAAGATCTCCACTTTACAAACCTCAGCAAGAAGCAAAACAGACTTTTCTGTGAACGCTGTTGCTGGTCTGCTCTGGGAC